TCCAATGGTAAAATTAATTTTTGAAGGTGGTTTCTGGCAAAGATAATTTATATATAAAAAGGAAATTGTCTGGCTTTATATGTAGATGAGAAAATATGATGATGGAATAAATCAAACAGTACATAAGATAAGCTCCATATCTGTCTAAAACGTCAGATTTCAAATACAGTAGATTTGGACACCTCAGAGTAGCTCCATATCTGTCTGTGCTACAACAATGATGAGTATAAAGAATTTTCAGTTTCAAACAAAGGCATGTTTGTTTTCATAGAATTGGTTAAAGGAGATTTTATTTCACAATGAATTCTTAATGGCCAAGGTCTTTGATTCAGGTTGGAATTAAACTTGTCAAATAGCAACACTGAAATAATGTTTGTGATGTTGTGAATTTAGCCTTTTGCTCTTACATTCTTGCTAGGAAGGAAATATATGAAACATACTGCTCGTTTAAGCTTATAAACTTTCACAGTATTTTCCCAATTCAGTGGACAAAGCCAATTTCAAGACTGCTACTTCCTAGTTTAGAGTTTAGGTGAGATGAGGAATGGTCATCCCTGCTTGAAAATAAATTTTAACTATGGCAAGAATATAAATTTTCTTCCTTCTGATTTTCCTCCTTGAACATATGCTTAAAACTTAACATGTCATTTTTGTGTGAACATAAATTTTATTTCACTTAATGCTCAGGGTTTGTGATCCTGTAATAATATATCTATCACTGATTTATAGTTGGAATGGCTTATAAATGAATGACAGCTCTTTCAAACATTTATAAATATGTGATTGATAGTTTACCACTTGGGGCAAAAATATTTACTTTGAATAATCAAATTAAAACATCTTTGATCTTTTCATTTCAAGAATTTTTTTTTTCTTACTCTACCTCCTACCCTATATTTTAAAAGTTAAGATCCAGTATTCTTGCAAACATTTTCTGCACTTGAACTCTGCTTCTCTCCCTTCACTCACTTCTCAAACCACTCTAATTTGATTTCTGCCCATACTACTTCACTAAAACTGCTATAGCCAGGTCACCAAGTGTCTGCAGCACATTTCTCAGTCTTTGTTGTCACTGAGGCAGTTAATACTGGTACCCACTTCCTTTTGTTTGTTTGGCTGGTTGGTTTTTTGCTAAGTCTTACCAGAGGATAATTTTTCCATTGCTTTTCAGAGAAAGTGGAAGGGAGGGAAAGAGACAGAAACAAACATTGATGTGAGAGACACATCAACTGGTTACCTCCTGTACGTGCCCTGACCGGGGGTGGGGGAGCAAACCCACAACCCTTTGGTGTGAGGGTCGTTGCTCTAACCACTTAGTAACACTGGTCAGGCCGCAGTTCCTTCTTGAACATGCTCCAGTGACACTACATTAGCTAGTTTTCATCCTCTTTCTTTCTGATAACACCCAATCCTCCTTTGTAAACTTCTTTCTCTAATCATCCTTTAAATGCTGCTATTCCTTAGAGCAGCGGTTCTCAACCTGTGGGTCGCGACCCCTTTGGGGGTCGAACGACCCTTTCACAGGGGTCGCCTAAGACCATCGGAAAACACATATATAATTACATATTGTTTTTGTGATTAATCACTATGCTTTAATTATGTTCAATTTGTAACAATGAAAATACATCCTGCATATCAGATATTTACATTACGATTCATAACAGTAGCAAAATTACAGGTATGAAGTAGCAACGAAAATAATTTTATGGTTGGGGGTCACCACAACATGAGGAACTGTATTAAAGGGTCGCAGCATTAGGAAGGTTGAGAACCACTGCCTTAGAGTCTCTTGGCTTCTCATGATAGTGCTTTCCCTAGAATTTGGCATTCGTTGCTTCCGTTATAATCTGCTGATGATTCCAAAGCTGCTTTATGGCTGCAGAGCTGTATGTCCAGCTGTGTACTGGACATCTTCACTTGCTGGTTGTAGTAGCCTGCAGGTGATGTAAACCCTCTTCAGGCTTTAGAGGGAAAACTGTTGCTTTACACAGTGGTTCTCAACCTTCTGGCCCTTTAAATACAGTTCCTCATGTTGTGACCCAACCATAAAATTATTTTCGTTGCTACTTCATAACTGTAATGTTGCTACTGTTATGAATCGTAATGTAAATATCTGATATGCAGGAGGGTCTTAGGCGACCCAGGAAAGGGTCGTTCGACCACCAAAGGGGTCGCGACCCACAGGTTGAGAACCATGGCTACAACATCAAGCATCAGGTGTACAGGTCAAACTGGTCTTAGAGATGACTGGAAATAGACTTCCTCCTTTCTTTTGTTGCTGCATTATAATCTCAGAACCATCTTCTGCATGACATTTGGAACATGGTTGGCTAAGGTCAACCTTCAAGGCTACAGATTGTCAGTCACGAAGAAAAGATAGGCTTCCTCCGTCCAACTCCAGACAGAAGACAGCTGGACATGGATTCTGATTGATGCAGCTTGGTTGGCTACCTCAGGCTGTACTAGGTGTACCGGTTAATAATGGCGGATTTTGTAATCAAAGAAAACACGATAATTTCAAGAGAAACATCAAAAGTGCTTTATTCAAAGTAATGTCCATTGCTAGCTACACATTTCCCCATCTTCCGGGTAATTTGTGGATACTGTCCCAATAGAACTTTTCTTGTTTTGAGGCAAACCATTCAGAGACCCAATTTTCCACTTCTTCGTTCGTTTTGAAGTGCTGCTCAGAAAGTGCGTGTGCCATCGATGGAAACAAGTGGTAATCTGAAGGTGCAAGGTCTGGTGAATATGGCGGGTGGGTTAATACTTCCCAGGCAAGATCTTTTAATGTGACTTTAACTGGTTTTGAAGTGTGTGATGGTG